GCCCTGGCACAAGGCACTCGGGCGGCCCTGGTCCCGGCCCTGGGGCACATGCCAGCACTGGGTGCAAGGGCATCCCCGCCCCTGGCATGCCCCAGGATGCGCGGCCCCGCCCCCGGGCGCCCGGCGCGTGAGTGGCCCCGCCCCTGGGCGCCCGGGAGCCCATAAAGGTTGGGGACCACTGCTTTATACCAATGAAGTTTACACTAATAAAAGGGAGAGGCTCTGCTTGCATGTCTACCTTGTACTTCTTAGTGGTGCAAAATGGACATAACAGATCACAGAATCCAGCCTCGCTATAATTTTAATGAGAAGCTGCACAGATTTTTTTGACGCCATTGAGAAATAGTAATTATGGGGATTATGGACTCAGTGATGCAGTGTTTATAAAACCATTTTTAAGACTAGGAATTGTGGAATTAACATCTATTTTTGCCCTTGATGTGAGAAATTCTTGATTTACTATTAAATGCATTAAAAATATAATTTGACCAAAGTCACCTTCGAAGCAACCATGACTCTCTGGTGCATCTCAGGGCAGAGAGCATTATGTTCTTATCTAGTTCTGTGGAATTATTATGATTATACATCTTCCATGCAAACTCCCATTCTCTCTCACTTCCCATTGCAACACCATAACAACAGATAGTTCTTTTAATAGTGAGAGGAATCCTGTAAAATAAAACAGTAAATTGATACCATATTGCTCTCAAATGAAAACAAGTAGCTAAATTATGGCAGAAAATTATAACATTCACCAATTACAATTTAAAATAATCACAAAAGATCACTCAACAGAACAAAAATCTGAAAAGCAACCAGATTTGAGGACAGCGCTTTTAGATTTATTGTTCAAACAATACCACAACAGAGATGCTTGAAGGTGAACTGAATGGCTTTTTAAATATGATTGGGCAAACAGTTCATATTCACCAAAATAATCCTTATGTCAAGTGATGTCACATATTTGCATGAAAACACCACCTCAGAAAAGCCTTCTGGAAGCCTATCCCCACAATGGAGGTGATCAGAAAGCACAATCAACCTCAAGGAAAGAGCTGTATGGTTCAAGAAAGCAAGATGAGGAAAGAGAATGGTCACCTATCTACACAGCAGATTCTTTCCCTCTACTCACACTTTCATTTTTTGATGATGAATTTTGCAACAAAACCCAAATCCTAAACACCTTCAGGCTCACCTACTGCTACATTTTACATGCTGAGAGAAGAGTGAAAATATTTGTTTCTTCTGCAACAGTCAAAAGTATCACTAAAACAGCACAGAGTGTCAAGTCTTTTTGGTGTTAGCAATATCAACTATTCTAGTGAAATATTTAATACATATGAGGATCTCTATGCACTTTACCAGCACTTCGAATCAACTGGATTTTTGGTTGATTCCCTATGTCAGGAAGGAGCCCACTTCTATAAGACTCTGAACATTTTAATTTCCTAATGTCTTTGTGTTAAATTACTTACCATTAAAACTAGCATATGCTTTTTTTTATTTCATTCCTTGTTCTAAAGGAATAGGACTAAATGGAAAAAAGAAACACTATGGACAGGAAAATATCTGAGGAGAAACAAGGGGGCAGGCAACCAACTTTAGACACGATAGAATTGTATTATAATGAATAAGACCTTTCTTTCTTTGCACCAAGTTAACTCACAAGACTGCTGGTCTTTAACACTTCATATGTGGTCAGTCCTCGGTAAAGAATGGCTGTCATCTGGGGTATTTGAAAAACAAGTGCTATTATGAAGCTATAAGTGATTCAAGGGTGTTAGTAAATTTTAAAGAGAGCAAATAAAGGGGGCAAGAAGACTCCCTAAATTTCAACCAATGGATTTTTAACTCCAGATTGATTAACATCTATTGGGAGGTACAACCATTCCTTACTGAAGACTGGCCACCTATGAAGAGGACTAAAGGTAAGAGGTTGGGGAAGGGATGCAGGGTTTGGGCAGGAGTTAGGATGTAGGCATGGGCCACAGGGCTGGGATGTGGAATCAGGGAGGGAGTCAGGGTGCTATTTTTTCCTCCTTAAAATTTAATGGTGAACATATCTAAATCTTCACTTATAGATTCATTATATCACTTGTTTCTCAAATGCAGATGACAGCCATTCCTTACTCAGGACTGGCCACATGTAAAGTTTTAAAAACTAGATGTCCTGTAAGTTAACTGTGCAAAAAAAGATCTTATTCATTATGACATCAGAGCAAGTATATTTTTACTTTACCTTACTCAAAAATAGAAATTCAGGTTTTTAAAAAAATGTGATTTTGAACTTAAGACTATGCATGGAAAGTTTCAGACTGGAAGATGAATATTTATAAAACAGTAATAAGAAATAGATTCTGTCATACTGATGATAGAAATAATTAATTTGAATAAAGCCTGTGAAATTTTAGCAATTGCTATTAAAACAGATTTGATTACCGCCCTCACTTCTAGCTGAGTGACATTGTGACCTGATGTATGGGTTTCAGTGCCGCTAGGTTTGACCTATCCAATTCTTGTCTTCAGCTATAGAAGGGCCAAGTCTGAATAGCGTTGTAAGCCAGTGCACCAGATCACAATGTCTGAAATGGGAGGCAGGCTCAACCCAGAGACTGGGAGTTCCATTGTAGGTTGATAGTAAGGTGGTCTCACTCGGAAATGTACCCTCAACCCTTAGTCTCACCTTTAATAACTAGAAGATTTACCCAGTGTTTCTTATCTCAATTAATTTGTTTTTTGGAAAAATAAAATGAAAATGTGCATGTTTCATTTAAATTATTTCTCTGGAGTGAGGCTAAGAATGAGGGTTCAGTATGTAGGCTGCCCCAGGGAGAGAGGACTAACCCAGCCCTTTCTAATGATAGCCAGCATGAAGCCAAGTCTCTACATAGCCACTGCAGCTCCAGCAGGCACAGCTGTGGGAGGAGTACATGTCCCCCAGCTGGAACAAGTCCAGGTTCATCTACCTCCTGTGTTCCCCAGCCAAGAGGAATGCAGCAAACAGTGCACTTCCCCCTCAATTCCTAAAGAAGGGGAACAGCCAACAATATTCCTATATGAATGGGGGTGGGGAAGAAGCTTCAGCACTCACCTCCCACTCTAATGGGGCCTGGAGGTGAGGTGCTCAGGGTCAGAGCAGTCAATGAAAAGAGACAGCATCCACCAACCAACCCCTTTCACTTGTGTGGCAAGTGTCTCTTTTTTTGAATGGTTTTATGAGAAACAGTCCCATTCCAGTCACATCCCATTTTCCTGACACAGCCAACCCCACCTTGTTTCAAATTATAATAAAATGAATCGGTTTACCGAATCTGACAGTCTTAGCTCTTACCGTTTAGGAGTTTTTGACAAGACAAACTCTCAGCTATACAGTAGACTATAGCTGCTTTTGCTACTTAAAAGCTTTTGTGTGGGTGGATATAGCAAGAAGTAGGTTACTCAGTGATAGGTTACTCAGAAGAGTTATTCCTCTCCCCACGAGGAATAAGCCCTCTTACACAAGAACTCTTCCACAAGAGGGCAGTGTAGACAGGCAACAAGAATTTCTTACACAAGAAGCCCCTATGGTTAAAATGGCCATCAGAGCTTTTTTGTGCAAGAGAGCAACCACACTGCCATGGATGCTCTTGCGCAAAAGCACATCTCTTGCGGAAAAGCACATGCCAGTGTAGACGTGCTCTTGTGGAAGACTTTTTGCACAAGAACTCTTCCACAAAACAGTTCTTGTGCAAGAAGCTGTCAGTGTAGACGTAGCCCTCTGGTGTGAAATGTAGTAAAAATGTCTGTGCCAAAATCAGCCTTAATTAGGAACTGGAAAAAGAATGAAGAAAATCTTGCATCCTTAACTGAAGTACTTGAAACTGTCATTATACAATAAGAATATTCCATTTTGGATACAAAATAGTGTTTAACGTTTTAAAGCTTTTCAGTTTACTTTTAAAATAAATGTTTTGTGGTTAGTCATTAGAAAGCTGACCCTAACCCTAACCCTAACCCTAACCCTAGCTCCCTCCCCTGAACTTTAGTATAAATATTATAGGCTCAGCTGACTTAGCCACTGATTTGTAGGAACATATATTCAAATAGCCAACATTTTTGTTCACATTTCATAACTATACTAGAACAGATAAAATACAAATATAAAAGTGATAATAAACAGAACAGAGACTCACCAGTGCCAAAACTATCACAATTGTATAGAAAAATAAGAAAAGAGAGAAGGAAAGAGAAGTGAGAATTAACATATGCCATATGGGCTTTTCTGCAATGGAAAATTCTAACATGCTTTTGTTGACAAATATAGGAGATATTTAATTACATAAAAGTTCAACATTCGTTTTTTATTTCCATTTGTGAAATCCATTTAGGTTGCTTCTCGGTATGTTCTAACTATAGATTTATTTCTTTAACATTATCTACAGTCTTAATAAAAACCTACTAAAAATAAAACATTGTAACTGTCAAGTTTCCCCGCACAGCAATGCCATCTGCAATTGTAAAATTTCCCACGATGCCATATGTAACAGTTTACATTACTGCTGAAGCCATGAAAGTCATATTGTACCTTATGCAGTGTAACGGGGTTAATGTCCCTGTGGAAACCCTCTTTTTTAATTCCTTGCCTTTTATTCATTTACATTCTCAACCGTAACATTGTAGAAGGGAATGGATGTCATGGCAGAATGGAAGTTCTACACTGCTTATTACAATTTTGCCTGCAGACAGCAACCATATGCTGCTTACACACCTTCTTAGAGAGCCATTAAAATCAATGTGATGACTCCAATTTAGGATAACCCTTTGCCCAATCAGATCCTAGGTCAGTAATAGCAGAAAACTGTTAATTGTTAAGTAGCACATATGAATTGTTTTGGTATGGGCAAGTGCCTGTGTCACAGGTGAGTATTGAGGCAATACTGTCTGGTGCTTAAACAGTTTCCAGAACAGACAATCTTCATCCTTCATGAAAGTCAAGTTTAGGTTTTTACAATTTAGGTCTTACCAATTTGTATAGGAAAAAAGTGCACAAGGAGCCTCCCTACACTACCTGCCCCATGTAATATTAATATATGGAGATGTACCTCTCTCATAGAACTGGAAGGGACCTTGCAAGGTCATCAGGTTCAGTCCCCTGCCCTTATGACAGGACTAAGTACCATCCCTGACAGATTTGCCCCAGATCCCTAAATGGCCTCCTCAATGATTGAACTCAACTTTGGGTTTAGCAAGCTAATGCTCAAACACTGAGCTTATCCCTCCCCCCTTCAAATGGCCTATTTGATTTAAATCCTACATAAACACATCTATAATATTATAGTTAATTCTTACTCATTGTCAGGGTTCTCCATCCACTTAGTGTAAAGTTCAGAAGATAGGTTTAAGCAGTCTTGGAGACCCAGCCAACATGCTGTATTGATAAGTTTTTCCAAATATATTCTTGAAGGGGAATAAAGAAAAAGAGACACATTTTCCATTATACCAGTGAATAATTTTTAACTGTAACTTGATTTTATCAAATGGCATGATTTTCCGGAAATGCTTTTAACGGAAAAGTTTTCCGTTAAAAGCATTTTCGGAAAAACGTGTCTAGATTGGCATGGACGCTTTTCCGCAAAAGCACTTTTTGCGGAAAAGCGTCCGTGGCCAATATAGACGCGCTTTTACGCAAAAAAGCCCCGATCACCATTTTCGCAATCAGGGATTTTTTGCGCAAAACAAATCTCAGCTGTCTACACTGGCCCTTTTGCGCAAAAGTTTTGCCCAAAGGGACTTTTGCCCGAAGGGGAGCAGCATAGTATTTCTGCAAAAAGCATTGATTTCTTACAGTAGGAAATCAGTGCTTTTGCGGAAATTCAAGCAGCCAGTGTAGACAGCTGGCAAGTCTTTCTGGAAAAGCGGCTGATTTTCCGGAAAAACTCGCCAGTCTAGACACAGCCATGATGTATCTCAGGAAACAGCAAATAAAATAATAAAGATATAACCAAACAGCAGTTATGGTACAGAAATGTTTAAATGTACTCTAGTCCCACCACAAACCTATCTGTCTATTGTGGCAAGAGTCCCTTTTTCCCTGGGCAGCAGCCTTCCCCTGTTGCCAGAGGTTGGGGATTACAGCTGGTTTCTGGGATAGGGATCCCAGTCATTACTTCTGGGACTCCCTCCCCTGCTGTTTCTAGCTCTAGAACTGCTATAGCAGTGTCTGTCTCTTTTTTTATTTTATTCTCCCATTGGGAAGACTTTTAAAGGCCTCCAGCAGGTCTCTGACAGGCCTAAAGTGGAGTCAGCTGGCCCCAATCTGCTGGGCCAGCTCCCTGCCAGCTGCTCCTAATTGCCCTGAAGCCCTCCGCCCCTAATTAGCTGGCTTTTTAGCTTTTATGGACTCCCTTTTCCCCATTCTGTAGGGCTATGTCTACACTGGCGTGATCTTGCACCAGAGCTATGCAAATGAGGCTAAGCATGGAATATCGCTAAGCATGGAGCTTCATTTGCATATATGAGCCACCATTTTGTGGAAGAGGCTCTTGCGCAAGAAGGAGCTATCTACACTGCCCCTTCTTGCACAAGAAAAACCCTCTTGCGCAATGCCGCTACTCTGATTATTTTCAGGAATAACAGCATTATGCAAGAGGGTTTTTCTTGTGCAAGAAGGGGTAGTGTAGACAGCTCATATATGCAAAGGAGGCTTGGCAATATTCTACACTTAGCCTCATTTGCATAGCTCTGGCGCAAGATCGTGCCAGTGTAGACATAGCCTAGTAGTCCTCTGGCCTGACCTTGTCATACCATGTATACATATGCCACTTGCCACTGTGAGAGCTGATCTCTATCACCATAAGGCTGTGTCTACACTGGCGCAATCTCATGCAAAAATGGCCGCTCTTGAGCAAAAACTTGCTCCCTGTCTACACTGGCCGTGTGTTCTTGCACAAGTAAACTGACGTTCTAATGTATAAAATCAGGGCTTCTTGCATGAGAACTCTGATGCTTCCGCTCAGGAATAAGCCCTCTTGCACAAGAGCTCTTCCAGAAAAGGCCAGTGTAGACAGGCAACATGAATTTCTTGCGCAAGAAAGCCCTATGGTTAAAATGGCCATCAGAGCTTTCTTGCGCAAGAGAGTGTCTGAACTGGCATGGATGCTCTTGCACAAAAGAACATCTCTAGCGCAAAAGCACATGCCAGTATAGACGCTCTCTTCTGCAAAGACTCTTCCAGAAGAACTCTTCCACAAAAGAGTTTTTGCGCAAGATCGCGCCAGTGTAGACGTAGCCTAACAGTCATGTCTCAGCAGAGATGTTACAGTTGACTGGCCTTGCAAACTGAACTACACACTGATCTTTAAAAGTGGTCTGGTCAGGTTTGAGGCACAAAGAAGTAGAAGGACCTTCTTGACCTGATGCAAAAGTTCTATGAACAAATCAGAGATTTACAATGCTACAGGGCTGTTAAATCACTATCATTCTTTAGTATTAAATTTACCAAAAAACCCCAATTCTGAAAACAGAGTCAGCTCATCTTGCTGCTATTTCATTTAAAAATTCCCATATCATGCACATTTATAGTACTGTATTACAGGCTGGACCTCCCTGGTTCAGCGCCCGAGGGACTTGAGGGGTCCCAATCCAGAGAGTTTGCAATATAGTCCTTATCAAATCAAATAACTTCAAATTATATTAAAAATACTTACTGATCAAACTCATCTGCCAAAGCACTAAAATTTTGACGAATAATATTTGCATAATAATGGTATATCGGCAACATTCTCCTTAACAGATATTTCTTTTAAAAGAAGAGAAAAATAAATTACTTTCATTTAGATATGATATTGCTGTATTCATTCATTCATTCATTTATTCAGATGATTTTAAAACTGGAACTCTAGGAACATACAAAAAATGTAAATAAAACATGAAAACTGGAGTCAGTGTCCAAAATACAAAATTTTCACAGAACCGCTCACACAGTACAGGCAGTCCCCGATTTACGCGGATCCGACTTATGTCGGATCCGCAGTTACGAATGGGGCTGCCCCGGAGTACACGGGCGGCGGGACCTCGCGGTCCTGCCGCCCGGTACTCTGGGGCTTTCTCTGCGTCTCCCTGGTCTGCAGAACAGGAAGACGCAAAGCAAAGCCGCGGAGGGGCTCGGGCAGCGGG